TTGCAATCCGTGTCGACCTTGCAAACCTTGAACTGCTGCTGGCGCAAGTTGGTGGTCGCGGCCACATACGCAGCCGACAAGAGCGTGAGCAGGACGCGCGTCATGATGGTCTTCTAGTTGTTAGTGTTGTTGTTGATAGGACCAAGGAGAAGGAAAAGTGAGCAGCGAGCAGCGATGGAGCACGGATGCGGCGCGTCGGCTACCATCACTGCACAGATTTTTCACGCGCGGCAAAGCTCGGGAAAGGTTCTTGGTTGCCAATCAAAACAAGGGCGGAATGGATCGCTTTTTACTTAGTTCAAGTCGCACCCAGCTGCTGTAGCAATCAAAACGAGGGCGGAATGGATCGCTTTTTACGTAGTTGAAGTCGCACCCAGCTGCCCTACCGGTATGCGCAAGGCCCTGAGAGCGCTTCATCCGTTGATCGGCCGAGCTTCAATGCTTGCGACCTAATAGGCATGATCAATACCGTCAGCATTGTGTCGAACAACTCTGCGTCGAAACCGGTATTATTTGGTGTCGAAGTGTATTTTGAAGTCCGCGGCGGTACCATGGTGGAATCCGGATATCCATTCAAGTACGATTCATCGTTAAGTACGGAATCCAGGTTTTCTTGACCAGGGAGGAACTCCGTACGCTGGGCTGCTTGATGATGTCTACCTGCGCTCCGTTCGCTTCTCCTTAGAGGCGCTGGATGGCACCATACGACGCTTGGAGGGAGAGAACGGTGGCAGCCAGGCGCAGGAAACGTCAAGGGCGCCGCTGCGTGAAATCCGATGGGCTTCGGCGGGCGTGCTCACAACCGACGGGTGCATGTCCCCGAGGTGCGAGTGGACCTTGGACCAGCCGCGACCGCATCGACCGCGACTGCCAGGCCCGCATCAATTGCACCACCAACGACCGCGACTACCGCGCCCGCACCACCGACGATCGCTGTCTCATGCACGGCCGCCCGCACCACCTTCTTCACCGTCGGACGTGCGGCCACTGCGGGCGTCAGTTAAGAACGTCGATCATTACGTGGTACTTGGCCATTCTCTCCGCGCCCGAGGCCAGCTTCTTCGAGACGTAGACGCTCCAGCGAACGTCCTCACGGACAATCTCGGCGTCGAACTCGAGCTCTTGGCGCGTGATGATCGACACGATGAGGGCAAGTAGCTGGTCGAGGTTGAACTTTGCGAGCTCGGAACTCTCTTCTTTCCTTGATTCTCGAGGCGATGCCTTCTCCGCGTTGCGTGGCGACGTGGCCGGCCGTGAACACATTTGCAGTGTACGAGGCGCAGACCTTCTCCTTGCTGTAGCCGAGGTCTTGGAGCCACGCGACAGCAGCAGGAACATCGTTCACGCCATCGAGCACGTTGTTATTATACAGCGCACGTGACAGAGAGGACGTCAAGGATGAGGTCAAAACCCCGTTGAGAGACGCCGCATGCGTCTCAGGTGGGGAAGTATTTTTAAGTCCGCGGACTTGAAGTATCACCATACAGCCGCCGGACCGCCGCGGACTTCAAGTCCGCGGACTTGAAAATACACTCCCGTCTCAGGTATCTTCAACGATGGTCTCCAAGCATCGATGATGTAATGTATTCTCCCAGGAGGTGGCTTTTGGGTGGCGCACTTGGTCATTTGACGCCCCCTTTCCGCCTGCCTTGCGTGCTACTGCTCTGCTAATAAGCTCGAGTTGTGTTCTCGCCTGGGTTGAGCCTTGTGCTACTGCGAAGTCTCTTACGGCTTGAACGTGCCATCGACCTGCGTCACGTGCGCAGCGGCGTAGGGCACCATCGATGCGGAATTGTCAACGACACCACCTCATGCTTCGTTGCGCGGTCGTGCTTGAGGCCAACGGATTTGTCCACCGTGAGCCGCACTTCGAAGGAGCAGGCCTTGTTGGAGCAGTTCAAGCGACCTCGAAGGTAGAAGCAATCCGGCATGTCCGGGGTCTTGCGAGAGATCTTCCCGCATACTAGTAGCGCCTCAGTCACTTCCAGGAACGCTCCGAAAGTCGGCCAGATACTACCCGGCTGAACGGGTTGAACGGGTTGGTTGGTACTCTGGTCGACGGCGTCGGTGGGCTCGGCGTCGGAGGGTGCCGGAGCGAGCACAACGTCGTTAAGGACGGTGTTGGGCACAGCCTCAGTAGATGGCATCGAAGAGAGGTTGGTAGCAAGTCATGGCCACTCTGCAATGCTATTTGTTTGCCCGCGGCATCGAAATGCATACACTCAACACTGTAACCACTGACAGACCCTTGGGCAACCACCAACGAAACGACTACGAAGAGACGGCCGCTCGAATTCAAACACGACGTGTGAAGAAAATATACATAGGATTGCCACGCACGCATGACATGCAAGATAGTCGACGCACACGACTACGAACTTAGTTGATGCAGAGAATGGTGCCGCCAATGGAACGCGGCGCCGGCGGGGGCGGAGGCACGCTGCCGCCGAGCTTCTTGCAGTAGCACGTGCCCTTGGCGTTGATGGGCTGCGCATAAGCGCCGGTCGGCCCGAGGTACCACGCAAACGCGTCGGCGTTGCCGTTCGCCATGCACTTGGCGCAGTCTTGGAACGACCCCAAAAAGTTGTTGACGTCGCCAGTGTGCGGCACGTCGTACTGGTCGTAGCACGCCTTGTAGTTGTGCGGGATCGAAGCAACGGCCCCGAGGGGCACCGCCTTGCTCCACACCGGAAAGTAGTTGTCAGCCGCTTTGTGCAGCATGCACGTGGTAAAGTACGTCGAGTGGGACACGCCGGCGCAACCCGGTGTGCTCGCACACGACGCCTGGCACGCGGCAAGCGTCGGAACGGTCGTGGAGATGGAAATGTTTTCTCCCTTGAGCTGGTAGCCAGCGTCCGAGACCCACTTGGTCGTTGTCACTGGCGGCGTGTCCTTGCACGCCTTGAGGTTGCGGCCGTCGGGCGTCGGCGCGCGCGCCGTGTTCTGGAGGCGCTTGAGGTAGCATGTGCCGCTGGCGCCAGCGTTATCTTGGAGCCATGCCAATGCATTGCAGTTGGCGTTGGTGCGGCATGCATAGAGGCAGCCGTCGTAGCCGGTCCGGAGGTTGGAGAGGTCGTCGCCCCAGTAGTCGGCGTGGTCGACACACACAAAGTTGCGCGCTGGCGACCGGCCGCCGGGCTGGCACATGGCAAACGTCCCGTCGTCCGTGGGCTTGCAGTAAAAGCCGTCGTTGCAATCCGTGTCGACCTTGCAGACCTTGAACTGCTGCTGGCGCAAGTTGGCGGTCGCGGCCACATACGCAGCCGACAAGAGCGTGAGCAGGACGCGCGTCATGATGGTCTTCTAGTTGTTAGTGTTGTTGTTGATAGGACCAAGGAGAAATGAAAAGTGAGCAGCGAGCAGCGATGGAGCACGGATGCGGCGCGTCGGCTACCATCACTGCACAGATTTTTCACGCGCGGCAAAGCTCGGGAAAGGTTCTTGGTTGCCAATCAAAACGAGGGCGGAATGGATCGCTTTTTACGTAGTTCAAGTCGCACCCAGCTGTCGTATGCGCAGAGCTCTGAGAGCGCTTCATCTGTTGATCGGCCGAGCTTCAATGCTTGCGACCTAATAGGTACCGGTATGGTCAATACCGTCGTACAACCCCGTGTCGAAACCACTATTTGGAGTCGTAGGTCGCGACGCCTGGAGTTCTGCACCATTTTCTATGGTGGCAAGCAACGGACGGTGGCCAGCAGTGTGGCCAGCATGTGGGTGGAAGCGGCGCCCACGAGTTAGGTGGACGTCTGCATAGACCTTGCTTTTGTGTACCTTGGTGAATAAACACGCGCGTCGAGGAGGTTTAACCTACCATGCGACACATCAACCGTGACATCCGACCGCGTCGAACATGGCGCCGCCGCTTGACGCCGCAAAACCAAAAACGTAAAAGGTAGTGCCTGGTTCGCGATAGGAGCAAAGTCCCGTCGCTTTTTGTTTTGAGACTTGGATTGCCGTCCCGGCGTTTAGCACCAATTGAACGGTGACCAAGTGCTGGGCTGGTGGTACTGCTGTTGCTGGCGCTGGGAGACTGCAGAATACTTGTACTCCTCAAGAGCAAATTGATATGGTGCCCATCAATCGAGCAGATTTATGCGTTATGCAGAGGTCCTATAATTTAAACGCATGATACACGGCCATTTATAAAAATACTCTGGCGACATATTACTAAAAGCCATTTATCAATTGTCAGAGGTATGCACTTGTGGAGAAAGGAACGTGCGATTTGTCGAGCAGTTGCGAAGTGCGTGGAAGCGCCCTACTGCCAAGGGTCCGTCATTTTATTGACCCTTGCTCATGCTGAGAAGCTCTCGAGAGCTTGGGTCTCTGGTAGGCAAGCCAAGATTCTCGGAAATGCCCCTGTGATGTGCATGGACTCGAGTCTGGCCTATTGGTGGAGTCTATTCGAGTTCTCGTTGAACAGATCGTATTGGACCCATGTATTGGACCTGCAAACTGTTCGATCCGCGCCAACGACGTGGTTGCAATGACAACAAAAATTTGGTGGGCACCAAAAAGAAAACCCACGTCAGGTTGGAATAGACGCTCCTCACATCGGCTCGCACTTCTTCCTCGCATGTGCGAGGACCATGCGCAGATGCTCGTCGCCTGCCGAATACTGCTCCAGTGTACTGTTCGTCAATCCAAGAGGGTTTCGCAAGGCTCTCAATCGCTCTTTCAGTACTGAACGAACGGGAGTGTCCAAGAGATGCAGTCGTCTAATTTCTCTTACTGCGTGTGTAACGCCATGACCACTCTGCTGGGTACACATTGAACGGTCAGCAGCATCGAAGGGCTGTGAGCCCCATGCAAGACATGCACGAAAATCAAACAAGTAGCTCGAGACGCCAGTACACCAAAGACACTATGTCTTCGTGGCGTGGGTGGTCTGGTGCAATGTGAAATTGGACCGTAGTACAGGAGACAGTCACATGTCCTTTCTGTGGTGCACGTCATCTCTGTCAAACGGACCAGCGACGACGATACCGTGACCACGTTTGTTGACCTGGTTCAAAAGCTGCTACCAACACGGTGTCCTTGCACCCATGACATGCTGAGACGATGCTTCGCATTTTGTATTTCGTGCCATGAGCAGCACGCCAGTGTTTGCCGAGTCCCCAGGCACGTCGCCGATGGACGACGGCGTCCTGCTCGAGCTTCAAACGTCCCCCGACGACGCGGAGATAAAGACGACGACGACGACGACGCACACGTACCGCCCCGACGTGGACGGTCTCCGAACGCTGGCGGTCGTTCCCGTTCTCGTCTTCCACGCATACCCCGAGTCGCTTCCCGGTGGCTTTATCGGTGTCGACATCTTCTTTGTGATTTCCGGCTTCCTCATCTCGGGCATTCTCTTCCGTGAGTGTCAACTCGGCAAGTTTACCTACGCAGGGTTCTACGCGCGGCGCATTCGGCGCATTTTCCCCACGCTCCTTCTCGTCTTGGTCGTGACGTTCTGGCTCGGGTTCCTCTACCTCATGGCGCCCAAGCTCAAGGCGATGGCGGCCACGATGCTCGCCGCGACGCTCTTCGGCGCCAACCTCCAAGTACTCACGCTCAAGCACTCATACTTTAGCCTCGACGTCAGTCACCTCGCTCCTGCATCTCTGGTCGCTCGGCGTCGAAGAGCAGTTTTACATCTTCTGGCCGCTCCTCGCGTCGCTCCTCATGCGCCTTCGCTTCCGCTTTGCCGTGGCGCTCCAAGTCCTCTTTCTAATCGCGAGTTTTGTCGTCAACATCGCCTTCCTCGGGTACCACGGCGACAACAAGATGTCGTTCTACATGCCGCTGAGTCGGTTCTGGCAAATGTCGGCGGGCGGCCTCCTCGCCTTTCTCGATCTGCACGGCCTCGTGCTTTCGGGCGTCTGGCCCTCGAACCTCGCGGCCCTTCTCGGTGTCGGCCTTCTCGTCCCTGGCTTTGTCTGCATCAACGAAGCGAGCGCGTTTCCGGGCTACCTCGCCCTCCTCCCGACGCTGGGAGCAACGCTTCTGCTCGCCGCGGGTGCCGACGCCGTCATCAACAAGTACGTTTTAAGCAACGTCGTCGCAGTCTACATTGGCAAGATCAGCTACTGCCTCTACCTCTGGCACTGGCCGCTGCTTGCCTTTGCCATCGAGCGCTTTCCGGAGCCGGCGAGTCGCCCCTTCTACATGCAGCCGTATGCCATGCTGCTCCTCAGTCTGCTGCTGAGCGTCATGACGTACGAAGACCTCGAGGGACGGCTCCGGCGGCGCAAGTCCAAGTGGGTGACGCCTCTTCTTCTCCTGTGCATGGTTGCCGTCGCCATCCTCGCGGGCTGCGCGTACCGCAACCCGTCGGCGTTTTCCGAAATTGAACGCGACCTCGCCAACGCCGCGGCATCGGGCGCAGACGACGTGTCCAAAGTCAACATGGCGATGGCCGACCTGGACTGGAACGTCGGAACAACGATGTGCGCACCCGACTCGGTCTACATCACGGCCGCGACCAACCCGACGCCCTTTCCGTTCACGGACCCGGTCCGCACCGACCAACCGGAGCGGTGCGAGATGATCAACCCGGGGCACGAAGCCGACGGCACGCTACTCGTACTCGGAGACTCGCACGCAGACATGATCGTGCCCCGCTTCATGAAGCTCTACGCCGACGCGGTGGCCGCCAAGACGCCGTTTCCGACGATTGTCTTGAAAGACCGGTGGGGCCGCGCGATGCTGCCGTGCCGACCCGAGTTTGCAGCCAACCTCGAGATGCTCAAGCACGTCCAGCCGCAAGCAGTCCTCGTCGTCGTCCACTGGGTGCAGTTCCTCAACCCGGGCGGGCCGCTCGATCGACCGTACGCGGACCCGCCGCAATGCTGCTTGGAAGAGTTCAGCGCGTGCGCCGAGCAAACCATGCACGACGTGCAGCACATCTTGGACGCGTTCGGCGCCGAGCTATCCAAAGTGTCGGCGCTCGGGATTCCAGTGTTTGTCGTCGACCAGAGCCCCGAGTACGCGCGGATGGTCCCCAACACGTGGCTTCATGGCAGCAGCGTCAAGGCGCCCGCGCCCGTGAGCCGCGCGGCCTTCCAGAAGGAGATGGCGTGGCTCCTCGACCCGCTCCATGCGGCGGTGGCGGTCGCCAACGCAACGCTGCTTGACTTTGCAGAAAACTACGCGAATGGCGATCTTCTGAGGCTCGTGGACGCGGACGGGCACCCGACGATGACCGCGGGCAACCACTTGAGCACGTACACCTCGCGAAAATACCTCTCGATCGTCGATCAAGTTGTCGCGGCGGCGCGATCCTCGCCTTGATACAGTTTAAACTGTCTAACTTATACCGAAATCTCTCATCTTTCGCGTGGACATGTTTAGTCGTTGTTGGGAGCCGTTGCCCCACCATCGTTCGTCCAGCGTTTTGGTTAAAAGAACCGAGTCGACCGTTGCTACATAGTACATAGCGGGCGGAACCATGGGGACGGCGCGGTGTTGTCGTGCTCAGAGCCATACTCTCGCGTACAATTTCAGTCGACATGAAAATGCTGAGTTGCCAGATTGACCCTGCCGTATAGCCCTCGTATCCTTGAAGCATACGAATCGTCCAAGTCAGCGCAATTTCAGCAAGCTGACCACGCGTGGGGTCTGATGTGGCGTGCAGAGGACGCCAGAGTCGTTCAGAATCTTACGACTCGCAAGTGTCCGTCCCGACGAGCTGCGTTGGCTGGTTGATGAAAGCGTGGGTAAAATTTTAGATTGGCCAGAAAGTGCTACGTAGTGCCACTCTCTCCCATGTCTCGTACACATCGTTCATTCAGAGACGATGCGATCGATATCGGTCGCTTCGATGCACGGGCAGCGGCTTCAGCGCAACCCTGACGTCGCGTTGGTGCGTATAGCACTGCTCTCGGTTTCATTGCCACAGGCGGCGCTCGTGACAGTGTTGTGGTTGCCACCGCGCTGATAGGCATTCCACCCGGTTCATCAACTTCAACGTTCGGTCGCCCATATCGTTTCTAGCTATCATTTGAATTCGTGTGGCCATCATCGAGGCCTGCATACTGAGCGTTGAATTGTGAGCCGTCGCAGCGCCTAGCACATCCATCGCGCAGCTGCCGGCTCCACTGATAGCCGTCTCTAGCTCGACATCGTGGTCGTTCTTCATTTTCCAATTGTCCCCGTGTAGCATGCAGCTCCTCGTTGCGTTCGCCTCGATCGCGTCCGTGCTCGGCGCCGCCAACTTGCGCCAGCAGCAGTTCAAGCCGTGCTCGATGGACGAAGACTGCAACGGTGGCTTCTTCTGCAAGCCCGTTGACGACGGGACCTTCTCCATGTGCCAGCCGGGCAACCGCGCGCCGGCTCGCAACTAGGCATCGGCAGGGTTTGAACTTGGTCGACTGGTTCAATTTTTGCACAAACGAGGACCGAACCGGAACCATTTTTTTTCTTAAACCGAACTGAGCCAAACCGCAAAAATATAACAAGGTTCAATGGAAACTTGGTTAGTCGGTTGGTTCAATGTAGAATCATGAAGACTACTAAGTACTCACTACTATATGTTCTGAAAGTAGTAGCGCACTGCAGCATCGCTGTCACTCATCGCGACAACTTTGTCCTTGTCCAAACGCTGGAAAGCATCGTGGAAGTTGTTGGGCAACGGAACGCCGACGCGCTTGAACAACTTCATCCACGAGCGGACACAAGTCTCCGCCTTGAACGTGCAATCGTGCAGGTTGTCGCGACCCTGGAAAGTAAACTTGGCAGCCGAGTTGGCCCGCTCCGAGGGCACGTTCGAGGCTGGGACGGCCAAGTAGTCCTTCGCCATGCGGTGCAACCGCGGGTACGTCTCGCGATGGTCCTCCCACCATTCCAAGAGATCGGCCGAGAGCTTGACCCGGCGCTCATTCACGAAGTGGTCCAACTCGCACGGATCCGGGTCGTTGTCGGTGTCGAACGACTTCATCATCAGCTGGTTGAGCTTCGACATGTCTTTCACGGGCGTGACCGCAATCGAGCTCGACGACGGCAAGGCCGGGTACTCGCTGTCCAAGATCGACTTGATGAAGTCGATCTCGGCCGACGGTGCTTGCGCTTTGGGCAGCCGTACGTCGAGGAACGTCGCGATCGTGGCTGGCTTCGACGCAAGCAGCTTCTGGTACTTGTCAGCCTTCTCGCGCATGATCGAAGTCCGGGGATGGTTGGCTTTCGTAGTCGTCATCGTTTGACATGCTTGCGACGTCGTTACTTGACGGTGAAACCGAAAATGACGACGTGCCAGCAGGGTCAAAAATACGTTGTGTGTTTTTAGCTTCTGATTATCTGGCGGCTTAATTTGCGTCTGATTTTGTGGTAGCCTAGATGTACCCACATCCTTTGAACGACGGTCCACTGATAGCGCGCCGAGTTTTTTCTGGTCCGCAGTATCTTAACCTGAGTCAGACTTGAACCCAGATTTACGAACCCAATTGGGACGCAACCAATTGGTTCATGAAAACCGCGGTGCACCCGACGGTTTTGGAACCCTGCCGATGCCTACTCGCAACTTTGTGTGCGTGCGAAATGCGATTTATATGGGATGCCACGTATGCTTCTTGTAATATATCAATATACAAAGGTTATGTGTTGTGAAGGTGAACGCGTGCCAGCTACGGCACGTGCGCGTCGTTTACCAGGACGTCACGAACCTCTTGCCTAGGCTAGCCATTCGTTGATCGCGTCGATCGCAATACCATGTAAGTCTGCGCGATTTTACTCGGCCAATGCGTCTCGGAATGGGATGACGATGCAGCCACCGAGATGCTAACCGAGTCGACTCGGTCGCAGTGTACATATGGACACAAGCAATTCTACGTCATCGACGT